GATAACAATATCTTAGGAATACATAAACAAGATAACAATATCTTAGGAATACATAAACAAGATAACAATAACTTAGGAATACATAAACAAGATAACAATATCTTAGGAATACATAAACAAGATAACAATAACTTAGGAATATATAAACAAGATAACAATAACTTAGGAATACATAAACAAGATAACAATAATTTAGGAATACATTACTAAGATAATAATTTTGGAATACATTACTAAGATAATAATTTAGGAATACATTACTAAGATAATAATTTTAGATATACATTAATAAGATAATTTTAGAATACATTAAAAGGATAATTTAGGAATACACTTGAACTTCACTTTATAATGCTTTTAAATACTTTCATATTAAAAACATTTAACACAAAATTGAAACTTAAATGGACTGATAAAGAAAAACAACAACACACATTTATACTACGTGTTAGTACAATGTAACATATATAATTAAAACTTAAATGGACTGAAAAAAAGTCAACAAATTTATACTAGGCATTAGTACAATGTGCAATTAAGTACAAGGGTCCAAGTTAGAAAACACTTCTCATCCTGCATTAGTGTTAGATTTTGTTTTTTTTACAGAGCAAGTCATAGGCAAAAATATGTTCTTGTTAAAAAAGAAATTACTTATTTATATATAAATAAGGCAAGACGATAGATCAAGCCACAATTATAAACATTTCACTAAAAGGTATATTTGGAAAATATCCATCCCAAACAAGAAAGTGACACTCGAGTGAGTTTTTCATTCAAAATTAATACATTAGGAAAACTGTAAAATAAAAACATGCTCAGTGTGAGAAAGAGGGAATTTTATTCAAATTTTCATGTTTTATTTGTGTGCTTGGAGATCAGTATCAGTTTTAATTGTCACTTTTTACTTTAAAATTTCTATTTCACCATACTATCTATACTCAATCCTGTTCTGTACATTACTTTGATATAGCTACTAGTAGATTCACCTTACTTTACTTACCCAAACTTCAATGCAATATTATATATTTTCTTTTCCAGTGCTTCTACATCCTAGAAAAACATTACTTAAAGTCACAATTTTGTCCAGTATCAAATTTCATGTTAAATAAAAATTTACAAAAATCGCTGTACAGTTGAACCAATTTTTTTTACTCTATCCCTTATGTTTTACAAGTATTTAAAAATTGATGGATTTTAAATAGGAACTCGATTTCAGACCTATCGGTGATCTGTTGTCATCTGCACATACATGAAACCTGCAAGTTCCATTATTATATATATATATATACATTCTTCTTATAGAATTCTATGCAATATATATTCGTCCCATCAACACAAACACTGGTGCAGATTTTACTGCCGTACTTTGCTGCTGAATCACAGACAAATATTCATGTTCACAACAAGAATAAGTGTTGGGTGATTACAGTTAAAAATTTGTAACACTTTAATGCAGATACAGCAGACCACAGAGGTGGACATTTTTGTTGTTAGTTACAGAAAAACACAAACTGTTAATGACTTCTTGTATCACAACACTTAGGTTCATGTACCGAGTAGATACGGGTACTGTTAACTTGTTTTATATGCCAAACCATGAAGGGAGCCCGAGAAGTACAAAACACACAACTTGAGTAACATACCTCCTTTGTTCCTTCGAACAGTAAAGTTGCTACGCACATCTTCTGGACGTCAAATCCTTTGACTTTAGTGACATAAAATTTCTTCACTCTATCCATCAGAGTAGTCACTAAAGAAGCAGCTTCTGGTTTCAGAGCTTGACCTACAAGTTGACAATGAAATAAACTTTAGGGTTACAAAAATGAACAAATGAATAGCATCCCTGTTTTTTTTTTTACTTTGTGTAGCTGTTTCTCAATGGAATTCTAGTACGTTAAGTACTTGCCAGTTTTAAAAAAACGAAATTCTAAATGTTGTTATCACAACAAAGATGAAACATATAATCTAAATATTAGTTTAACTTTAATGTTGAAGACCACAACGAGAAGTACTCAAGTGAATGACTTGCAGAGCACATCACTGGCCATTACAATCTAGGTAAAAACCTTCAGTCACATCACTGGCCATTAAAATCTTCAGTCACATCACTGGCCATTAAAAATCTAGGTAAAAATCTTCAGTCACATCACTGGCCATTAAAATCTAGATAAAATCGGCCAGTGATGTGACTGAAGGTTTTTACCTAGATTTTAATGGCCAGTGATGTGACTGAAATTAAAATCTAGGTAAAACCTTCAGTCACATAACTGTCCATTAAAATCTAGGTAAAAACCTTCAGTCACATCACTGGCCATTAAAAATCTAGGTAAAAACCTTCAGTCACATCACTGGCCATTACAATCTAGGTAAAAATCTTCAGTCACATCACTGGCCATTACAATCTAGGTAAAAACCTTCAGTCACATCACTGGCCATTAAAATCTAGATAAAAACCTTCAGTCACATAACTGGCTATTAAAATCTAGTTAAAAGCTATCAGTCACATCACTGGCCATTAAAATCTAGTAAAAACCTTCAGTCACATACAGTTATGTGACTGAAGGTTTTTAACTAGATTTTAATGGACAGTTATGTGACTGAAGGTTTTTAACTAGATTTTAATGGACAGTTCCATTAAAATCTAGATAAAAACCTTCAGTCACATCACTGACCATTAAAATCTAGGTAAAAATTTCTAATACATTTCCTTTAAGAAGACTACTGAATTTTATCATTCTTTCAAAGAATTCCATTAAAACATTTGCTAGTAAAACAACTTGGTTCAATTCAAATTAATTCGGTCACCATCAGCTTCAACAAAGAAACACAACTAACCTTCTGGAAGTAAACGGCATACACTATACTTTTATTACTCTTCTAACCCTAGTTGCAAAATTAGAACAAAGAAGATATACATACCAAAAACAAACTGTTCATTGTCCATCAGTCTAATAGATGCTGGTTTTAGTCTCTGAAAGAATAAAAAATAACACAATACATCATGAAAAAGTGTTGTTGTTTTTTTTTACACAGACTTTGTTCCTATAACTGATGAAAGAAGCCATTTTAATTAGTAAAACAAAAAATCTGTATCCATATTGTTAAACTTGATGGACATTTTATGTTATGAACTAAGAAACAGACACAAAACCATACCTAAAACTTAGCTTTATTGAACAATCAAAGCTACTTAAATGGTAATCAACTTCAGGTAACACATGGAGGAGATGCTGGAAGGTTTTACAGTTGTAAAATATCAACGAATATCTTACACAGTCAGATACTGTCACATGAACACAACAAGAGAAGAAACAGATACTAGAAACTAAAATTCAGTTACGTGTGATGCACAAGGAGATACAGTTACGTGTGATGCACAAGGAGATACAGTTACGTGTGATGCACAAGGAGATACAGTTATGTATGAGATACAGTTACGTGTGATGCACAAGGAGATACAGCTACGTGTGATGCACAAGGAGATACAGTTACGTGTGATGCACAAGGAGATACAGC